CAAAGTCGGACACCCAACCGACTGAGCCACCCAGGCGCCCCTTTAATGTGCTTTTTAAAAAAATTGAAACCTAATTGACCTATAACATGGTGAGTGTTTAAGGTGTTCTTTATATGCTTTTCTATTTTAAAAAAAAATGCTCAGAACAGCTTTAGTTTTATTTGAATCTGCAATTTTCCTGTAATTACTTATTCTCTATCATTTCAAGAATAACTGAAGCTGTTGATTGTACCATCAGAATTTTGAAAGATATGTTGGTATCATATAGACAATTAGGGTATCAAAGCAAAAATAGTAGCTCATAAATGTTGCCATTGTGTGAAGCATAGCAACAAACAAACCAGTACAATCTAACAACAGATTCCATTTATGACATAAGAGTGCAAATCAGACTGTTCCTAAATTTCTTATTTTAGTAGTTATTAAAATGATCTCACTGTTGGAAACTAGTTATAGGAAAAGGTAGAAGAGATAATGAATATGTGTATTTAATTTGATTAATTTGAGTTGGTGACGTGCTATTTTAAGATTTGAAATATATAAAGATCCTGAAGTGTGACCATTAACTTAAGAGGTAGACAAGTAGACTGATGTGTCATCTTCCATAGAAGATGGTCATTGAATTCTTGGAAGTACATATAGCATGATTTGTTTTCCCAATAGGGAAAACTCCTGTTAGGGAGTTAAAAAAAAAAAAAAATTAACAGTAAACTTAAAAGTTAGCTTTAGAAGTAACAAGTATTCTAGGGGCGCCTGGGTGGCGCAGTCGGTTAAGCGTCCGACTTCAGCCAGGTCATGATCTCACGGTCCGTGAGTTCGAGCCCCGCGTCAGGCTCTGGGCTGATGGCTCGGAGCCTGGAGCCTGTTTCTGATTCTGTGTCTCCCTCTCTCTGCCCCTCCCCCGTTCATGCTCTGTCTCTGTCTGTCCCATAAATAAATAAAAACGTTGAAAAAAAAAAATTTAGAAGTAACAAGTATTCTTAATCTTGGAAGTTTAAATTACAGAGAGCTTTCAATAATACAGTAGTAAGTAAGAGATATAATAGAAATGCAATCCTTTGTTTAAGTAGAGAGGAATACCTCTGTGACTCATAGCTATCTTAGCAGGAAAAGTTGTGTCAGAGGTAACAGCTCACATAACAGCCCTATATGATGTGCTCTAGGAATTTGAAAATGAAGAGAAAGAGAAGGAGGGTTGCTTATGATGGTGTTTGTGGAGCAAGCTAAGGAGTGGGCCCCCTTGAAAGTAATACTGAAAAGATAGTGATTTATTTATGTAGTAGGATGGGTTATAGGTAGAGGAATTAGATGTATGTTGACTAACTTCATTGACCAGTACATCCTTACAGCAAATCATGATGTCCAAAATAATGGTTCTAAATACTGATTATTTGGAGAACTTTTATTAATTAGATGTCATTATTATCCTTTAATTATGTAGTAGTCTATCATGAGACACCGTAAAACTTATGTCTAATCATCATGACTGTGATGCTGTTATTGGGAGACAATAAATTTGAGAATGGTTTACTATAGAGCTAATGAAAAATGAGTTGGAAGCATAAGAAAACTTAGCATTTGGTACTTAAGACCTATGAATGTGTGGGTATAACAGCAGATATTAATGATCCATACAAATAAAGAGTAGGAATGAAGATAAGGAATAGATGATTCCACTAGATCTTAGCAATTGAAAAGGAACTATTATTTTTAATGAGACACTTGAACCTTTGAAAAAAATCATATTTTGTCTTTTTTAGAGACCATATAGTGAAAATTCGCACAATTTGATAACTTAGTTTATAACTGTAGTACGTTAATTATCGGGTTCATGGAAGGAGCATTGCCAATGTTTCCATCATCACACATTGCTTCCCAAGCACATTTGTAATTATAAGAAGATAGTGATCAATTAGGTATAATGAAAGTTAATTAAAAGCCTTTTTGGTTGTGGCAGAGACTGTCAATAAAAATAAGAGCCCACTCATTTTGTGTACTTATTCTATGAAGTATTTAGTAGGGTTATAATGGTGCTTTTGAACACAATGTACTCTTCAAATGGTAAGCCATCTTAAACATTTTAATCGTAGGTATTTATTAAGGGACGTGATTTATGTGAATTGTGAATTTTTAGATTTTTAATTACATATGTCTCTTATTTTCAGAATTTATGCGTATTCCATGTGTGGATGCTGGATTGATTTCACCACTGGTGCAGCTGCTAAATAGCAAAGACCAGGAAGTGCTACTTCAAACGGGCAGGGCTCTAGGAAACATATGTTACGATAGCCGTAAGTGTTGAAATATCAATGATACACTTAAAAACTTTTGTTTAAGAATTATGGTTTTCAGACTAATTCCACTTTTAGTGTTAGCACTGTCTTTTCTAGGCTAAGACACTAACATGAGCCAGATGATTTAGCTCTGCTTGCTTAGCAGAACCAGTGGAAATTTGAGCCATAGGATTCTTAACTAAGAAGTTAAGGAAGTGAATTCTTTTACTCTGCTATCACAAATAATACTTTCAGAGGAAAGTAAGTCAATTTCTGAGAAATTGGGGTTTTTGAAGCGTTTTAGAACAAATGTATATTGTCTTTTCAGTTAGGTTTTATTGCAGTTATATCTCTGAATGAGAATGCTTATGAACACAGTTTTTTAAAGTATTTAAGTCTGTCCAAATAAATTTTTAATTACTTGTAATTCAATAAAACCATTAATAAAAACCATTGTCTTCTCAAAAGCTAGACTGGCCTACTGCATCTGCATTGACTCCATTCCTATTTGTCATAATGTCATTATCATCCTCACCGCTTTCTGTAATACGCTACTGTGCCAGGTAAAGACAAAGCAAGAACTTGGGTTTGGATATATTGCAAAAATTTTACATTTTCTACTTCTCCTCTCCACAAATATGTAAACAGAATACAGAAAAATCTTGAGTATATTCAGTTAAATTTGCCTTATCCTGGATTTTCCTTAGATTTATATATTCTGAGCCAGAAACACATATTTTAACATTTACCTTTAAAGTCTCCTAGGAATTTAGTTCTATTTATATAACTAAGATAACTTTTGCTGTTTATTTTCCCCAGTGATTTCATGCACAAAAGACATAACCCTTTCATCATAGGCGATGCTTCACAAAGTGATTTGGGCATGTAAGCAGATAGAAAATAAGGTCATAAACATATTTATTTACGATAAAAGAAAGTAGAAAAAAGACTGAAACTGTAACTTTCAGTTTTAATTTCTTTATAGCATTGGTGGTAAGGCTAGCCTAACTTATTCTCCTTTCCTTACTTTTTCTGGAACATAATATATTATGTGTGAGGATGTGGATGTCTTAATATGAATTTTAACTTACAATTTCCAGTCCCCAATACTGATTATAAATTTATCTATCTGTTCCTTCCTTCCAGTGCCTTTTATCCTAGGGTATTAGCTTTATTTATAAAATTCTAGTGCTTTATGTTTGTAACTTTGCCTTTTTATATTTAGGATTTTTTATTAAACCTCATAGCTTACAGTATTAGCTTTGAGTATTGAGTGAACTATTTAAGATATATTTTATATCATTAATGTTAAGAATAAAAGTTAAAAAGATCTCTACAGAGTAATAGTCAAAGATTGATGGCATGTATTTGGTGACCATTGATCATTACTATGTTTATTCTTATCCTTCTATGTTATATTACTAGAATTTAGGGCTGCCACAAGTATTCTTTAACCCTTGCTCTGTTTAGTTATTCTTAAATTATGCATTATTTAAATACAGGAATTCTCTATTTTAAGTACTTTTGTCCTGGAGTTTCCCTTAGTTTTGGCACAATAGAAGAAACACTCATAGTGATCTCTTATCTCATACTGCTATTATTTTTATGGGCACACAGTAATTTTATTTCCTGTGTACTCTAAAGAACCATGAAGTTAGGGTAGTAAATGTGTAGTTAATAAGATTATCATTCTGATGAAAGTAAAGTCCATTTGCTCTGTTCTTATGAGGTATAAAGTCTGTGGGTGTGCTTTAGGCTATGAAGTTAATTTTTTTTGTTTCATTTACTTATAAATATTTATAACCACTTCACTTTCATTTAATTCAATGTAAATTATAGTTAAATGGAAAAGTAAGCATAGCAAATATAGGCTGTTTTTTATACTTGTAAACCTTGTTTAAGGAAAGTGAAGTTAATAGTCTTAAAAATGTATAAATATAAAGAGTGATTTATTACTGTAAATTGTCTGATAAAATGTATTCATTGTGCCATGCTATCTTATGCATATAATTTCTATAAGCCTGTATGCTTTCTTATCCTTTTATTTGAAATTAAATCTCTGTGAACATCTCAGTGATTTTGTCAGAATAATTGTAAGAAAAGTACAGCACTTTTATTTGAATTACGAAAATGATATTTTAGTCTGTAAATATGATGCTGTGTGCTTGATTTGTGAATTTATTTGAAATGCATTTCTCATTATATATTTTGACAATTAGGAGTTTGAAAGAACCCAGGAATTAGGTTTCTTTTTTAAAAAGTAGTGAGCAACTTCTCTTTTAATTAATTAACCTTCTTCCCTCTCAAGAATGTAATGCTTCATTATTGAGGTACCTGAGTGGCTCAGTCGTCTAAGCATCTGTCCTTAGCTCAGGTCACGATCTCATGGCTCATGGGTTTGATCCCCACGTCAGGCTCTGTGCTGACCACTCAGAGCCTGGAGCCTGCTTTGGATTTTGTGTCTCCCTTTCTCTTTGCCCCTCCCCTGCTCACACTGTCTTTCTCAAAAATAAAAAAAAATAAAAAAATAAAGAATATAATGCTTCATTCTTAAAAAGAAAATAGAAAACTACACATGACAGTTTTATAAATACAGGGAATCTTTTTCTTATAAATAATACATGTTTTAAAATTCACATTGGTGTTTTATCAAACTTACCTGTCAGACTAAGCAGTTTACTTACATTTTATAAATGCACTCCAAGTGGCTAATTTTTTTATTAAAAATTTTTTTTAATGTTTATTTTTGAGAGAGAGTGGGAGCTCAAGTGGGAGAGGGGCAGAGAGAGAGAGGGAGACACAGAATCTGAAGCAGGTTCCAGGCTCTGATTCAGGCTGTGAGCTGTCAGCACAGAGCCTGACATGGGGCTCAAACCCACAAAACATGAGATGACTGAGCCGCCCAGGCACTCCTAAGTGGATAATATTTTAATGCAGGCTCATTCAGAATGTTACTAGGCTTACAACAGATAATAAAGCCAATATATGCAAAAAGCACCAGAAGGAATTCACTATAAGAGATAAAAATTTGAGAAAACTTGTGTATATTTTATGGATTTTTATTTTAACCCTTAAAAGGTAATGCAGTTGCTAGGATATTTCAGTTAACACAGTTTATTTGAAAGGAGGAGAACTCCAACTGTAAAAGGAATTACACTTGCCATAAAATCCATGGAAATCTTTTGAAAAAAGTAGGTCAGATTTCAGTTTTACTGGCTTTGACATTTTAGGAACTCTTCCGAATGGAAGGAAACTCTTACATAACATAGGTAGCAGGCTGACAGAACTGCTAAATAGGACGGAGTGAGGCTTTGTTGCTGATCAACTTTTTGAATCCCAGTCTTTCTCTTGCATATAGAGATGAAAGAATTACTGGATAAGAACATTTTTCATTTAAGATGCCTGGTCTTTTTTCTGATCTTCCAAAGAGCCTCCAAAGATACTTCAGTTATGGATTTTTCTTTCCAAGTATCCAAACAGACTTCTGATATAAGCAACATTTTAAAGCCGTCTTGTCTTGAACTTTGCCAAAAAACCATTTTTATGAGACATTTGAGATGCTTTAAATCAAAGATTAGGGGGGCGCCTGGGTGGCTCAGTCGGTTAAGTGGCCGACTTCGGCTCGGGTCATGATCTCGCGGTCCATGAGTCCGAGCCCCACGTCGGGCTCTGTGCTGACAGCTCAGAGCCTGGAGCCTGTTTCAGATTCTGTGTCTCCCTCTCTCTGACCCTCCCCCTTTCATGCTCTGTCTCTCTCTGTCTCAAAAATAAATAAACATTAAAAGAAAATTAAAAAAAAAGATTAGGGAAAATTTGTATTTCAATTTAGAAAGGAATTAGCAAAATTGTGATGGGATATGTTGGGTAATGTGATTTTAAATAAAAAGAAGTAGCATTACATTTCAGAATTGCATGCCTTCAGCCTATTTCATTTACATTTCTCTCAAAGGAGATATTAAAAAGAATGAGTTCTTTTTTTTCTCATTTGTCTATCTCTGTAGTATTCCCTTCTTTCAATGACTAGTTTTGTTTATATAGCTGTACACATTTTAAATTGTTGATATAGTTAAATAGCCTTATGGTAGTGAAGAGCTGCTTTTTAAATTTCCACACTGTATTTATAATTTGTAAGGATAAATTGGTGATTGGAGACTGAGTTTTCTCTGTTTGAAGATGTTACTGCTTGAGGTTAGGAAATAATTGATATTAGATGTATTTGTCCAAGGTTATTTAGTAGAAGCTGGAAGAAGATGATTAGACAAATATTTGTGCCTTTCTATATACCAGAGAAAGAATAATGTACAATTCAAGCTAATACATATTAAAATTAAATGTGCATCTTTATAGAAAATTAATGATTATTATATAATTGATACTATTATTGGAAAGGTACACACTTAAGAAACATATAATATGCCATCTTACATGATATGAAGAAAATTGGATTTGTGCTCACTGAAGAATAAATAAATATTCAAAATGAGATGATGATCAGTCTTGCCATAGCCAGTATTTATGAAGTGAAATAAATATTGTTTATTTCATTGACTTCAAGTATAAATGGAAAGGATACCAAATATATGCCTGGACCTACTTATATATTAATGATTATAACTTTGCTACACTATTCTTATGTAAAAAAAGAATTCTTCATTCTGATTGCAAATGCTAAAATATAATTTGCATTAATTCTATAGTATTTTGTAATGTAAGTTGGTTAGATAAGTATGTGTTATAATACAGACATGCTTTGAAATTGCCTAAGTAAGCAAAGTGTATTTGCAAATTTATGTCTGGCATTTAAAAATAAATGCTTATTTCAGTGGTATAAATTAGGTTAAGTATTTAATCATGTATTAGAGAGTTTTGCAGGTTCATATATTTACCCTACTTTGTGTCAGTAGTCAGTTTTAGAACAAAATAGAATTATTATCCAATAAGTAAAAACCAGATTCTTTTATCAGTTAATCTGTTGTATAAGAATGGGTTTATCACCAAAGTGTATTATGTATATGAGA